ATATGGATATTTCTAATATGTTGTTCAAATTCGTAGATATCAATCACATTGACGTGAATGACGCAACGATAAAACGACAAAATGAAAGTTCTCATTGACAAATGCTTCACCATAAGAAAATGCAACCACGTTAACGTCTTGATTGCAAGGAAACGTATAAACACGGAGTAACATAACACGGCGTAAACGTGAAATAATATATTAACAGTATAATTACCGGACGACGATCGTGATTGCATGCATTGTGCAACTTTGATACCCTTCGTAATTCTATTGAAGTCTTCCTGATTGTATATTTTAAACATTTGATGATCCATCAGTCGTGACATGTTTCAAATTTTTAGGTGAAGACAACGTTTCAATAATATTCTGGGAAGATAGAACCACTTATACTTCCTAAAGAAAATAGTAAAATGATGCGAGAGCTATGTTCAATCCAATAAAGAAAATTGACAAAGATATTTCTCCTTACCAAAGCACGGAACGGCAGCACTACACAATCTACTAACTTTTCTGCGAAAACCCAACAACGCTTCCGTTGTAATTACGTCCGTGTCAGGAACGATACACGATTTTGGTACCCACGTTAAATCATCGAACATTCGTATTCGTTTTATTTTATTATAATTTCATTTCAATGAAGACAAAATTGCTACTTTATTAAACAATATGTTCATCTGATTCATACGCATCGGTATTTTAGTAAAAATTATCATATTATTCGAAAGTCGCTCACTACCTCATTTTTGTTCACCCCTGTTAGAGGATTACATCATAAAATATACTACCTTTTGCGCCAACGTTGGACCGACGCATTATTTAAACTGTGAAGATGAATAATTCTATACATCTAACGCATTATCTATTATAATGTAATAAATGTTACGTCGAAAAATTATTTTAATATTTTAATCATGAAAGAAGAAGGTCTTTAATGAACAAAATTATGCACTTAACTATAACAATATATTTTTCTTATTTAAGTACAAATTACATTTTAATAATAAATAATAGTAACAAGTTGTTAGAAGATTCTCTCTTTCGCTAACATCGAGGTGAAGTTTCTAAGGAGCAATAATACATTCCATTTGTTTACAAAAATATTCTATTTGTATTGATAGTTAAAGAGATACAAGTGCACATTAAACAAATACTCGACACCAGGAGGTACTAGATGTAATACTTTCAAGTATAACTTTTCAGAGCTTACTTTAATTTTTCAATAAATAAAGAATTTCGGGACATTCAATCAGTCTTACGTAGTAAGGACATTAAATAATACAGAAAAGGATTCATACAACATAGTACAATGGATTTGTACATTATAAAATTCTATCTATATAATACAGTATTGCATATTATAGTCTTCCACATTATGCTTCTGATCAAATTCGTTGCAAGTAATATTTTCTTTCGCTAAATAACATTTTCTTATCCTCATAGTAATATCAGTTGGGTATAACATTAATATTTTCATACTTCAAAAAATGCTTCTCTGAGAAAATACTACCTTTCTACTCAAACATATGACCTCATTATGTACAAACGGTACATTCACTCTGCAATTTTCATTTTTCTACGAAAAATATTTGAATTTCGGACAATATAAATTATATACTTAATACAGCAATCTAATTCTTAAATATAGTAAATTAATAATCAAGAATAAGAATTAGTCAACAGAAATAATAATAAATAAATATAAACACTGGAGAATGTTGTACAATAAGTAGTTAGGCAAATTACAGACACACAGGTATACCGTCACAGTAATATTGCAACATTAAAGACACATATAGACAAAAATTAAGATTCCATTTAATACTCCAATCAAATAATTTAATTGTACTCCAGGTGCCTTGGAAAATCTGAAAAAAACAAACATGAAAAAGATGTTAAATGACAATAAACAAACTTGAATACATTTAATAAAAAATCATAATGACAAACATTTGTAGATATAATTACTCTGAGTTATTATACTTACCTTCGTTTAGTAGGGCTAAAGGGGGAAGGTGGATTGATTCCAGGAATACTGCTATCTTTGTAAATTATAAACCAAGTAAAACCCATCATTATAAGACCACTTATTGCTGCTTTTATTATCCATCCGTACGTCTTACAGAACGAAGTCGTTACGTTTACAACATCATCGTATTGACCAATGTTAACAAACTTTTCACTCACAGATGTTAAATGTTTCGCACTGAACTCTGATACATCAGGTATGCGTGACATATCGAATACATTGGAGATGTTTGAAAATACAGACGTTGACGACATTATAAACATAGAATTACTTTTTGACGGCAAAATATTCCCTAAAGAGATTAAATTAAGTTATCAACAGGCCTTAAATGTTTCTTTAACACGTAATGGTGTAACAAGCCAATTCATTTTTTTTTATGAGTCAAAACAGCAGCATATAGTTGACTTAATGTAATATTGAAAATGGAAGCTGAAGGTCACGCAGAACTTTGTCAACAAAAGAAAGAATTAAAATAATTACTTTAATGTGTCCAATTGGTCGTATTAAAATTTCATGAAGCGAAAGCGAGAAATATCCTTCATAAATTCGGTCACGGACAACGTAAACGTTGGCCGAGGTTTTAGTATACCTAACGGAAACTTAGCACGAAAGTTTGAAGTCCGTCAATACGAAGACATTGAGAATAAGAAAAAAAGTGTATCGTAAAAATACTACCGACGTTAGATAAATGTTATGCAGTTGAAATAAACAAACATGCAACATGTATTGACGCATATTAATTTCACGAAACAAATTGTTAATAAAACAAAGGGATGGTACAAGTATGGTATCGAAATCTCACTTACCGTAGTTAATATACAATTTCCCTAAAACGACAGTTAATGACATTAAAAAGAGCAGAAAACTGAAAGTCCACTCATTTATTTGTAACTTATTCCATAACCTCACTGGGGCAGCATAATTTTTATTTGTCGCTATGACATTTGTACCATTCAAGTGTAAATCCAATTTCTTATTGGTCATTCTTGTAATCTCCGATTACAGGGAGACCATGTACGATTCTACCGGCCGCAGAAGAGACTGAATGACAAATGATACGAATCGCCCAAAATAACAGTGAATAATAACATAACATATATATGTTGATATGTATACAGCACGCGTTGCTTTCGCGCATGCGTTTTAAAAAACTTCCCCTTCCCTGAAATTACTAATTCTTTTTCTCGGCTATAACATGGCTTTGTTTCCTTTAAAATGCCAAAGGCTGCGACTATTTTTTATGCATACATTTAGATAGCAGACGGTATCGTGTCGTGAATACATTTTCATGTAATTACCGAACTCACCGATGTAAATAGTCTTACAAGTTTCCAAGAATTTATAGAAACGCGAACGAAGGGGAAGATCCCCCTTCTACCATGTATTTTGAACCATGAATTTATCGATGCGCAAGGTAAGCTGCGCAGAAGATCATTAGCTGTCAAATCTGAAATTTTGAAAATCAAAGTAGCGCGTCGTAAGACGAATCGCGAAAGCGCGTAGAACGGTTAATGGATCGGCAATGAAATTTATGTTGTCCTTGGAAAGCAACAAATGCGTCGAGGCAGAACAACGCATCGTCTTTAAAGGTTAACGTAACTTCGTACACGCGCCATCTACTTTTAACGCGCATCTCTTCTGGACATTGCCAATCCAGCGAATTTGTATACGGGTAGGGGAACCCCTTCCCCTCCCGTTATACGCGATATGCGTGCCTAGGGAAATCGAAAGCTTAAATAAGCTTGGTAGTAAGTATATACACGTTAAAAAGTTGTGGAGGGGTGAAGAATGTGTCGGCGTTTACAGTGAATCGCATTCGTCATTTGCACTGTTGAGTGGACGGTTCGTAGGAAGGAGCTGGTCTCCAACACGCGATCCGTTATCTACGCGTACACTTGTATGGAACCGTAAATTTCCCGTGTGTTTTTCTTATTAAATACAATGGCAGCCCAAGAGGAAGTCGGTATCGGAGATTTGGTTCTTCTGGATGAGATTACCGTGGAAAAAGTTGTGGATAATTTACGAATCAGGTAAGACTGTACGAACCGATGAATGCCACTGACTGAAACAGTAAATAAGTATATTGGCGGGAAATCGGTAAAATATGAGCTGTCTTCTATTATGGAACCGTCGACAAGCGCGTTCTGTACGATTCCCGGCGGTTTCGTGATATTTATACTTCATAGATCATGCATCAAGAGGGCGTGGCTAACCGTATATTAGCAGGTGGTTGCAATGCAACTCGATGTATTTGGATTTGAACTTGACCCATAAAAACTTGTTGGATCACGTCGTATCCCTAATGTTGCTTTCAAATTTCTTACCTTTAATGTCCTTCGGTCATTATGATTCTATTGACAAACAAGTTTCATTGAATTTAAATGTTTCTATAGTATTTATGTAAAATCTGAAATCTATAACTCGCTTCGCCCTAATGTTTTCGTCCATAAGAACGATCGGTGTAGCTGCGATGCCTGATTTTAGAAAAAATAATTTACTTATTGCCTTATCAGGACTTACAATGAGTCATCCCTCTGGTTCAAACTTGAATCTTACATATTGGACGTTATGGTTATTGGAAATATTTAAAAATTTACGCAACGAACGAAATATGATTTTTTTTTGTTTGCAATAAAGCGCGGGATTGTCGTATGCTATAGAAATAAATAACGTTTCCAAGTTAGAGATAACAACTGATTTCTATTGCATATTCTTGATAAAATAGATAAATTTTATCTTTTACCGACAGAAAGTAATTCCTGTATTAGTATTACCGCTTTGAAACGAAAAAAAACGATAGCGTGTATACTTTGATAAGTTGCGTTATAATCGTTTGAAGTTCTATTTACGATCGAAATTGTTTATTTACAATTATATTATTATTTTCAGATTTAACGGTGGTAAAATCTATACATATATCGGAGAAGTATGTGTTAGTATTAATCCATACAAAAGCATAAATATATATAATAATGAATATATCAATAAATATAAAGGTAAATAATTAAACTTGAAATTGAATAATAAAAAGATTTCTAAATCGTGTTTAATGTCAGATATTAAATTCTAGATAGAGAATTATTTGAAAATCCACCACACATTTTTGCAATCGCTGATGCTGTTTACAAAGAAATGAAACAGCAACGCAGAGACACTTGTATAGTAATAAGCGGGGAGTCAGGATCCGGCAAGACTGAAGCGAGTAAAATCATTATGAAATACATTGCTGCAGTTACAAACTTAAGCGGTCAACGGGAAATAGAGAGGTACAGATAGAAGTGATCTAAAACAAAGTAGAATTCTAATTTACTATAGTTACATTTTTGTAGGTCATATAGACTACTTTAACCAAATAAAAAATAAAATAAAGCAATTTCACTTGTCTTTAGGATTTTTTTTTATTCTTTTAAGAATTTACAATTACTTTTTTCTTGTATGTCAGAGTAAAAAATATTCTTATTCAATCCAATTCAATATTGGAAGCCTTTGGAAATGCAAAAACAAATAGAAATGATAATTCATCGCGATTTGGAAAGTACATGGATATAGATTTCAATTTTAAAGGAGATCCCATTGGTGGGCATGTTACCAATTACTTGCTGGAAAAGTCAAGAGTTGTATATCAGCAGAATGGAGAACGTAATTTTCATTGTTTTTATCAGGTAGTGTTTGTTATTTAATATTTCCCTTTCTTTTCTATTAATTACCGATTACTGATGAAAGAATTTAATAAAAATTTACAGCTATTGAATGGATGTACCGAAGCAGAACTGAATAAGCTTAGATTAGTAAGGGATCCAGCTGCATATTTTTATGTCAGTGCTGGAAATTGTAATAAGGCAAGTCCAACCGACAAAAGTGATTACAAAACAGTTAACTCCGCTATGTCCACTCTTGGATTTACACAAAATGAAATACAAACAGTCTGGAATGTTATTGCAGGGATATTGCATTTGGTTTGTTGATACGATTATAGAAATGAAGCATGAATTTGATTATTCTGTTGCTTACAGAAATGCTGCATCTATTTTAGGGTAACATTACATTTAAACTTGATGAAGATAAACTATTCGTTCAAAACAAAGCTGCTTTAAATGACACGGCAAACTTACTGTCCATTAGTCCTCAGGAATTAAGTACAGCTCTTACTCAACGAGTAATAGCAGCAGGTGGAGAAGTCATGCAAAAGACTCATACCTCGACACAAGCAGAATATGGAAGAGATGCATTTGCAAAGGTAATTTTACAATTGTTTATTTCTGCACCTTCAGGACTATGCGAATAGCACTGCACAATGTGATTCATACGTCGTATAAAAATTTTACAGGCTATATACGAAAGATTGTTTAACGAAATCGTATCGCGTGTTAATACTGCAATTAATGTAAATGATACAGAAGTTTATAAGAGATATAGGACTGTGATTGGAGTACTTGATATATATGGATTTGAAATTTTTGATGTTAACAGTTTCGAACAATTCTGTATTAATTACTGTAACGAAAAGTTACAACAATTGTTTATTGGTAAGGAGATGTTAAATAAAATTATTTCTTTAAGAGAATTATACTAATATTCAGTGTTTCAGAATTGGTGCTAAAACAAGAACAGGAGGAATATAAAAGAGAAGGAATAGAATGGCAGAGTATTGAGTATTTCAACAATCAAGTAATTTGTGATTTAGTGGAGCAGTCGCATAAGGGGATAATAGCCATTATGGATGAAGCTTGCCTCAATGTTGGAAAAGTTACAGATGAAGTTCGTTTTCGTAACTGATTTTTTGTACCGAAAAATATCTTCTCTTATTTTATAATAGAATTCTTTTAGATGCTTTTAGAGGCTATGGATCAAAAGTTGTTTGATCACAAGCATTACACGTCTAGACAACTGAAACCAATGGATAAAGAACTTCAACATAAAATTCAGTTTAAGATTAAGCACTATGCTGGAGATGTGATATATAGTATTAATGGTTTCTTAGATAAAAATAAAGATACATTATTTCAGGACTTTAAACGTTTACTTTATAAGAGTAGTAATCCAATAATTAGCAAAATGTGGCCTGAAGGAGCTCAAAATATCTTGCAGGTATAAAAATAAATATACCTAATGTCGCTGTCAGGTGTTTGTGTGCTATGTTTTCATTATCTTGCTTCAGACAACGAAAAGACCTTTAACAGCTGGAACTCTCTTCCGCAATTCAATGATAGCTCTTGTTAAGAATTTAACAAGCAAAGAACCTTTCTACGTAAGGTGTATAAAACCTAATGAAGTTAAATCACCAGTCGTGTTCGATGAAGAGAGAGTAAATCATCAAGTACGATACTTAGGTCTTGTCGAGAACGTGTTGGTTAGGCGAGCTGGTTTCGCGTACCGTCAACGATACGATACGTTTTTAAAACGGTACTGTCACGTTACAATTATCAATACAAAACCAAACTGGCACTGGAGTATTAATAGTCAATTGTTCTTTCTATCAGGTATAAAATGATATCTCAGTATACATGGCCAAACTTTAGAGGTGGCAGTGATAGGGATGGTGTGCAAACTTTATTGGACGCAAAAGGTTTTGGTAATGACGTTAAATATGGTCATACTAAAATATTTATTCGTTCGCCTCAAACGCTTTTCGCGTTAGAAAAGGTTCGTGAGTAAGCAGTTGTATAAAATGCTCGATAATAAGATAGCTTACTTTTATATCTTATTTACCGATAGGCACGAAGCGATTTGATACCGGGTATTGTAATATTGCTGCAAAAGCAATGGAGAGGATATTTATGCCGTAAGAAGTACAAAAAGATGAAAGCCGCTCTTGTCATAATGAAATATTACCGAAGATATAAGATACGTACTTACATTAAAGAATTGGATAAAATCTTCCGCAATGCAAAGAATATGCGAGATTACGGGAAACGCGTAACTTGGCCTCGTGAAAATTTTGCTGTAAGACACGTGAAACCTGACTTAAAGAAGATGTACGAAAGGTGGTGGGCGTGGATGATTCTCAGACACATTCCTAGGGAAGATTGGCCTCAATTGCGATTGAAGGTATATACCTTTTGTAACCTGCTTGACATTGTGTTCACGGTTTCTCTATTTAATATCAATGTGATGTTAGATGGCCGCGGGAATGGTTCTGCGATCAAAACGACAGCATTGGGGACAAGACAGACGCTGGGAAGGAAATTATTTATCCAAGTCAGACGAGAATCCCCATAATAGTACTTTTAATTCTTCGATAAACAATCTACGGAACACTGATCGTTTCAAAACTGTTTTATTCAGTGCATTCATAAAGAAAACCAACAGGTTTGCATATAAGATCACATCGTATATCGAGCTTTCAATTTCTTATTTTTCCTGAATTCTGCAGCAAGACGATTGTTTTAGATTCAATAAGTCAAAGGATCGTGTGTTGGTTGTAACCGAACATACGATATATAAACTCGACAGTATTAAATTCAAAAGTTTAAAGAAAGGTGTACCAATAGCCGAAATTACGGGCTTAAGTATATCACCTGGAAAGGATCAACTTATAACGATTCATTCCAATCGAGGAAACGATTTTATCATGTCGATTATTGCGAAAGATGACAGAGTGGGAGAACTCGTTGGAATTTTAAGTAACAGATATAGTCAGTAAGTATATATATATATATATATATATATACTATAGGGCATTCACGATTGTGTATTAAAGTGACGCGTTTCGTGACAGATTACGTTCGGCTGATCTACAAGTTACAGTCGGTTCAAGATTTAAATGTATGTTGGGAAACAAGAGCAAAATATTACGAGTAGAAGTGTTACCAGAGGTGCATGAACCGACGTTCAAAAAGGACGGGGATACCATCATATATGCCATTCCACCATCGATTGGAATCATCGAGGACAGATAGTTAAAATAGCATTAAAACTGCCTTCTTAGTCTCCTCTCGTAAACATTACAGTTCAATTACTTATCATAGAAACACTTTTGAAGCTTTTATTCGTGCATTTTGAAGCATTTTTTTGTACAAATAAGATTACGTTAGAGAGATGGTACATTTTTATTTATAAAATCGCATGGCCATAAATACATTTGAAAAAATATTGCTGCGAGTAACGACACAGACAATCAAACGATGCTTCAATGTGGAAAGAGTTTATCGAAACCAGTTCTTCTCTGTAAATACGTATAAAAATAGGTATTCTATGAATAATGCGGATCATTTGCAAATATTGGGAGCGTTATTTGTATAAATAACTTGTAAATTATGAAATTGGAATCGATATACGTAGCCTAAGAAACTTAAGACAGTATTGCCTTAAAAGGTGTTTGTTATCTAATACGGTAATCTTAAATGTTTACTAATGTGGCCTTTTACTTAAAGTATTTTTCAAATATATTTTTACACTGTCATGAAAATGTTATACACCGCACGAAAGTTTAATGAGACTTTTATAAAATTCAAATTATATTTATTCAAGAACTGATATAAGATTCATAAAGTTTATTGAAAACGATCTCTATGTAGTTTATCACGATGCATTTAAAATTTTTTAATAATGTTACAGATATATATATATATATATATATATATATATGACTTGAGAGAATATGAAACGCTATATACACGTTGTAAGATGGTGCCATTGTTAAAAAATAAATCGACGTTTTTACGTCTTCATGGTAATTTATTTTTTGCAGAGAAAGATTCCATTTTAAGTGAATTCCATATTAATTGTAAAATGAAAAATTTCTGCTTGTTAGTTTTTACTGTTAAAGTGTAATAGAATACATTTTTCTTTTATACAAAACAATTGTATAATCTAATCGATGCGTTGATATAGATATATGTATCCTAATTCTTTTGGTGGATTTTCAGACAATGCAACCTGCAATAAATAATTTATATGAGCATTTCACTGAACTTATTGAAATATATTCGATTCTTTTAATACATACTTTATCGTCATTATATATTACCCATCGATCATCTTTTAACAGGTGACACACGTAATGCCCTACCGTTGTTGCAGGTCCCATATGTGATAAAAAGCCCACTAGTTTAAATTCTAAATAACATATAATTATAGAATATAGTTGTAGATCGTTGAAATTACAATGTAAATATTATTGGACAGTATTTTGAAATACGTACGGTCATTTCCGTCCCTAAACGTCTCTTCGGAATGTCCCTGCTCATCGTCAACGTCCAAAGCATCTAACTCAGCTTGGTGACTAAAAATCCAATCCGCTGCTCGTTCTAAATTATTATCCGTCGCCTTAAGTGCTTTTATCGCTTGTTCTCTCGTAAAACCCATTCCCATGACCATTGTTACGGCATCTTCGTTAACCATGAACTTATCCTTTTCTGAAATAGAAAGGACAAGTATACCGAATGTAACCGAGGATTCTTAATATGTAACGGAGGAACAATTTTTACTTGGTTTTGCATCAAATCCAGGTGGTACAAAAGGATCCGCAAAATCCGAATCTGCGATGTGCTCCATTAACCAGGTAGTTGCTGCTTCTGAGCCACGGTTTTCTGTGAAATAGAGAGCTCTTTTGCAAGCTTCTAGAGGGAATCCCATGTCTGTTAATTGATTTAATATATCGAAATCATAAACTGGTAACGGAGACTGGAAACCAGATGTTTCTGGCAATACTTCCTCGAGGGGTTGTAAGCCGTGACCCCGAAGAGAACTCAAATCCAGCAGGTCTGGCATTTCAATAGCTACATCCAACTTGATCGGCGTCCAGTCTTCTTTCACCGTAAACTTTTTTAAATGTATTAATAAATAATCCGGGAAGGTAGCAAGTCTGGTTGTCCTATAAAAAAAGAATCCCGCTTATTCATCTCGAATTACATACACGATAAAACAAATTATTTACTTTAGCGCTGTTGTTTTTCTATTCAGGGCTGAACTATAAAATTGTTCCACTATTTCGGCTGGAATAATTGCTTCCAGA